CCTTATGTCCAGCAGACCTTGTCATTAAAACCATTAACCATAATCACATATTACCTTAACATCTGAAACCATTCAACATTAAACACATTATTACAGTAACATCTGAAACCATTTAACATTAAACACATTATTACAGTAACATTTGAAACCATTTAACATTAAACACATTATTACAGTAACATTTGAAACATTAAACATTAAACACATTATTACAGTAACATTGAAAACATTAAACATCAAACACATTATTACAGTAACATCTGAAACCATTAAACACATTATTACAGTAACACATCTGAAACACATTAAAAACATTATTACAGCAACACATCTGAAACCATTAAACAATAAACAAATTATTACAGTAACATGTTATTACAGTAACACACCAGCTGGTCCACCTTGATATGTTTAGCTGCATCTGGAAACACCGGGTGAAACCATTGAACATGAAACACATTTTTACAGTAACATGTTATTACAGTAACACATCTAAAACCATGAAACACATTTGTACAGTAACATGTTATTACAGTAACATATCTAAACCATTAAACACATTATTAGTAACATGTTATTACAGTAACATGGTATTACAGTAACACATCGGAAACCATTAAACATGTAACACATTATTACAGCAACATCTGAAACCATTCAACATTAAACACATTATTACAGTAACATCTGAAACCACTAAGCATTAAACACATTATTACAGTAATATCTAAAAACCATTATACATTAAACATATTATTACAGTAACATCTGAAACCATTAAACATTCAACACATTACATTAACATTTGAAACCATTAAATATTAAACACATTATTACAGTAACATCTGAAACCATTCAACACATTATTACAGTAACACATCTGAAAACCATTAAACATTAAATACATTATTACAGCAACACATCTGAAACCATTAAATATTAAACACATTATTACAGTAACATGTTATTACAGTAACACATCTAAAACCATTAAACACATTATTACAGTAAGATGTTATTACAGTAACACATCTGAAACCATTAAACATGTAACACATTATTACAGTAACATGTTATTACAGTAACACACCGTCTGGTCCTCCTTGGTATGTTTAGCTGCATCTGGAAACACCAGGTCATATTAAACATTAAACACATTATTACAGTAACATGTTATTACAGTAACACATCTGAAACCATTAAACACATTATTACAGTAACATGTTATTACAGTAACACACCGTCTGGTCCACCTTGATATGTTTAGCTGCATCTGGAAACACCAGGTCATATTAAACATTAAAAACATCAGTTATTATTACAGTACAGTAACACATGACACCATGTCAGATTAAGAATAAACAGACAGAAACATGTTAACCCAAATGTCTGTTTGGAGATCCTTCCCTACAGGCTCCTTGTCTTTGACAGGTCCATTTGTCACACTGGCAGTTGTGACTCTCCCTCCACTCAGCCTTTCATTTGATCCAACTGCAGTCATTTGGACCTTGGCACCTGGCAGACAGGCATAAGGTATGCCAGGACTTTATACCGTTGTTAAATTGTAATTGAATGTATTGAGGTCGCATACGATGTGTGATGTGACATTGTTACTTCTGGTATTTTAACATTCTACATTCAACACAGTTTGACAGCTGTTACATTATTTCAAATCCCCATAATGTCCCCGTTCCCACCATATTGCTATGTTCTGATGCCACGACATCGCATTGCTGTGACACAATACAATGTAACAAATCAAAGATCACTCCTGCACATCCACTACTTTGTAGCAAAGCCAAATCTTTGGACATAAAATCCATTGGCAATGTATAATATGAACAGATGAATCTATTCCATGCCAGGATGACTGTGCCGTGAAAGCGGACTAGGTTAGCGGCTAGTGGAGTTTTGGTTTAGTTGAACGACTCACAGTTTCTGTGTCGCAGACTCTGGCACACGGCGGGGTTTTCGGTAAGCGTCGCTGCACACCTCGACATGGAGGACAGAACCCTCAGGTATCCCGTCATGGTTCACCGGAGAGACGGTTATGACCACGAGGCCTTATATGAATGAATACCCGACAGACGGTAAATACATTTGCCTACGTATATTTTATGGGCGTCTGTCCGGTTATATTCAACACACGTCAGCGTCACTAATCACGTTTCCATCCAACCATTTCATGCTGATGAATTACCTGACCCTAACCCTAACCCTAAACCCTAACTCTAACCCTAACCCTAACCCTAAACCCTAACTCTAACCCTAACCCTAACCCTAAACCCTAACTCTAACCCTAACCCTAACCCTAAACCCTAACTCTAACCCTAACCCTAACTCTAACCCTAACCCTAAACCCTAACCCTAACCCTAACCCTAAACCCTAACTCTAACCCTAACCCTAAACCCTAACCCTAACCCTAAACCCTAACTCTAACCCTAACCCTAACCCATGAAAAAAGTCATGACCGGGCTGATGAAAACATGAAACGGTATTTTTTTTTTTTAAGATGCTGACAGACCATTTGTTCATTCGACATGGTGGGATCTTTTTATGTTGGTAAAATTAATAATGCGAGAAATCGCGGTGGAAACGCCTTTATGCGCAAATATTGCTATAATAACCATCATATGGAAGTAAACTTGGAGTCACGCCATGACATGTTGTGTGGTCCTCCCACTAGGACTCTGGAAAGCATGCAGTTTATCAGGCTACAGATGAAATAAGTTATGATGAACTTCACAGGGTGGTGAAAGTGCAAGGTGATGATGAGCTTGATGCACCTTTCCAATAAATATCGAGGGTCTTATTCTGGTGACATGATGATCGATGCTTGGCTGCCGTTTGACAAATACAAATAAAATGTCTCTTCTCCATAATAATCTCATAATGTAGGTAGCCTGCCCGCACTACATATGAGAGCTGTTGGCTAGAGCGCATGTGCCAAGACCAGAGGGGGCACATTTGCTTTATAACGCAACAGTTTTTGTTACAAAACCATCAGTACAGTTGAAAATGCGATGGAAACCCATTTAACTTGTATTTTCATTCGGTACCTAAACTTTATTTTATTTTTTAATGATCTAACCTAAACCTCTTACCATCTATGATACCGAGGCTACTACTGCAGGCTACTTGCTGTATTTCCATTTACAGTAGTTGAATGAAATTCTATTAGCTAGGTTTAAATGAAATACATAGGCCACCTTGGCAACTACAATAGAATATAGACTGTATTCCTCCTAAACTGAGCACCTCTCATTTGGGGCAAGGGACGCCACCAGGCTGCCAGAAGGGGAGACTGTCCTGTAGACTAACCCTAACCCCTAACCCTAACTATAGCAACTGTTTCATAGCCTAAAAAAGCTGCGTTTGATTCTTACAGTACACCATGCAGGTACTGCCCTCTGCTGCCTAGATAATGAAACTACACTGAGGGCTGACCTACACGAGCTGTGTCTAAAACAATGAATCCAATGGAACAGTCCCAAAAGTGCAAACTCCAAGCTAAATCAACGTCTCAAGACATTTTGCCCAGGTGCTGTTAATACACTGTTATTTACACTGACTAGGTGATTCTGAGTTGAACTATCCACCCCCTCACCACCACTTCATCTTGCTAAATAAACACAGTTAAAGACAAAAGGTTTTTGCCAATATTCTTCTAATTTAATGGAAAGTCTTTTGAATTGTAATTAAATTCAAAGCCGTATATCATGTTTAAAGAGCACTTAACAATAATAACCAGTCAATAATCAACTAAGGCATGTAACAGCAAACTAAAGCAGTAAACGTGGTATTTACTTTTCAAATTGAATTACAAATCCATAGAGACAGTAATTATGGTTAATCAATTGCACTTATTTATGAGCACAAAATGCACTGTGTTACTATCCTCATGGGTACCGGAAATCGCCAAAAGTCCCCACAAGGATAGTAAAACAAGGAAAATTCTCCCTCGTGGGGACATTTCCCACATCCCCACCAGGACAAAGGCTATTTTAAGCTTAGGGGTTGGGGTTAGGGAAAGGGAAAATAGGAATTTGAATGGAAATCAATTGTAGGTCCCCACAAGGCCAGTAAAACATCTGGTGTGTGACTGTGTACACGAGAGAGGGAGAGACAGACAGACAAAACGTTTTACACACAATAAATTAATGTCATAGCACAAAGGAATGTCATAGCACAAAGGAATGCCATAGCACAAAGGAATGTCATAGCACAAAGGAATGTCATAGCACAAAGGAATGTCATAGCACAAAGGAATGTCATAGCACAAAGGAATGTCATAGCACAAAGGAATGTCATAGCACAAAGGAATGCCATAGCACAAAGGAATGTCATAGCACAAAGGAATGTCATAGCACAAAGGAATGTCATAGCACAAAGGAATGTCATAGCACAAAGGAATGTCACAGCACAAAGGAATGTCACAGCACAAAGGAATGTCATAGCACAAAGGAATGTCATAGCACAAAGGAATGTCATAGCACAAAGGAATGTCATAGCACAAAGGAATGTCATAGCACAAAGGAATGTCATAGCACAAAGGAATGTCACAGCACAAAGGAATGTCATAGCACAAAGGAATGTCATAGCACAAAGGAATGTCATAGCACAAAGGAATGTCATAGCACAAAGGAATGTCCACTGAAACAACAACAGATAAAGGCTTGGTGTACCATGTGTGTTAGGTTGCTAACCTATTTTCACTGAAATCACTAAACCGCTGTTGCAACACAGTATTTCATCTTCAGAAAATATAGGTTTAACATTTTCAGAGGCTAGAATCCACAAGCTAAAGTCTTAATAGCAGACAGATATCGATTGAATGGTTCCTCAAGTATTTGAATATAACTGTCGGACTCCAGTGTGTTGTGGGGAATCAAGGCTCCAGTCTAGTGGCAGATGACCTGTAATACAATATATTGTGTTGGCTGCAACACTAATCCAGTATTATATCATGTATCATCTATAATAATATATATAGCAGTATCTATGTGTTGGCTGCAACACTGCCCTTCTTGTCGCTGAAGAAGCTCCTGAGGATGAGAACCTGTCCGATGCTGACAGTGAATAGGATCATGGTTTCTCCCATCGACCAATAGGACACGCGCTCATGGAGGTCCTCGGCTCGGATGCGGTCATGAGCCTCCCGTAACCGATACCAGGTCTGAGAGTCAGACACCACCTTCAGGATCTCATGGATGGACAGACAGGCTGACTCCATCTGGCGGACAGAGAGACAAGATTCATATTATATTATTAATACATCCTTAAAAGGGGCAATCTGCAGTACAAACAACAACAAAGCATCATGGCCCCGTCTAGAAACAACCACTAATGGCTCTGGTGGAGATTTGAAAGGATTGGGTTTTTATTAGCCTACAGAGATCTACTACCAGAGAGCCTACAGAGATCTACTACCAGAGAGCCTACAGAGATCTACTACCAGAGAGCCTACAGAGATCTACTACCAGAGAGCCTACAGAGATCTACTACCAGAGAGCCTACAGAGATCTACTACCAGAGAGCCTATAGAGATCTACTACCAGAGATCTACTACCAGAGAGCCTACAGAGATCTAAGCCAAGCTTGTAGCATCACACCCAAGAAGAATCAATGCTGTAATCGCTGTCAAAGGTGCTTCAACAAAGTACTGAGTAAAGGGTCTGAATACTTATGTAAATGTGTTATTTCAGTGTTTTCTTTTGAATACATTTGCAAAAAAAATTAAAACAGTTTTTGCTTTGAAATGATGGGGTAGTGTGTGTAGATTGAGGTGGAAAAAAACAATTCCATCAATTTTAGAATAAGGTGGAACGTAACAAAATGTGGAAAAAGTCAAGGGGTCTGAATACTTTCTGAATGCACTGGATATAGTATTATATTATGATCTTACCTGTGTCAGGGTTAGGGTTGATCTTACCTGTGTCCGTCAAATGCATATGTATTATAATGTAAGTGTAATATAATTATAATATTGTTTTACCTGTGTCAGGGCAGTGTCTCTGTTCATGTCAGGCAGTAGGGGTCTCTCCTCTCCGGCCCTGAAGTCCAGGTAGACGGTCTTGTGGGAGAAGGTAGAGAACTCATTGCTGAAGCAGACCTTGTAGGTTCCTTTCATAGTGGTGGTGTGAGAGAAGCTATCATACTGCTTCTTCCTCTCCTGATACAGGACGTTGTTCACTGGATCTGTTACAAAGCAGTCCACATCATAGTTCCCTCCTGCAATCACCTGGAATACACAACATGGAGCGATGAGGATGATGGTATGGAAACACATTTAGAGTAATTCAGCCCTTACGAAAAAAGATTGCAGTCAGTTAGAGTGCAGTATAACTGCAGTACACTAGTTAGAGTGCAGTATAACTGCAGCACACTAGTTAGAGTGCAGTATAACTGCAGTACACTAGTTAGAGTGCAGTATAACTGCAGTACACTAGTTAGAGTGCTGTATAACTGCAGTACACTAGTTAGAGTGCAGTATAACTGCAGTACACTAGTTAGAGTGCTGTATAACTGCAGTTATTCTGAAATTACTGCGGCCAAAATACCACAGTCGACTGCAGTTACTGCACTTTTACTGCAGTTTCAAAAATGCACATGTTTTGTTGTAAGAGAGTTCATTCTTCCAGTGAGTGTGAAGGGACAATTAGAGCACGGGAACAGATATACAGTAGTTCAATGCACTAACTGAACCATATGGGGAAATGGCATCAGAACTCCAAATCTGGATCACTTACTTGAAAGTCTAGGTCAAACTTCACGCCATTCTGGAGCTCTTCATAGAAACATTGCTTGTCGTTATCAGGTAACTCAAACGTCAACTCCGTGGAACAAACAAAGATCACATGCAACATCAAACTACACAGGCCAAGGGAACGCATTCTGCAGGCTAAATGCTATAAATGAAAGCTTCAACAACAAACAGTCGCAGCCAGTCTCTTCTTCATCAATGTTTCTGTGATGACAAGGTGATATGAAAAAAGTTCGGAAAGCTCCCACCCATAGAGAATGATAGAGAAAGTATCCCTATATTGTTCCTATTATGGCGTCTGAGCGCACGGAAAGCACTATTGAGGCAATCTCCATTTTGAAATAGTATTATTTATTTTTTCTTCACGATTGGCTGATCCCTCCTGATGACCCGATTGGACATGACTCCAACAGGGTCATCAGGAGGGGTCAGCCAATAAAGTTGGAAGCTCAACCCAGTTGTCTACGTTAAAATGGTGGAAGCCCTCAAGCTGTTTATGTCAAAACGCTCTTTAGGCCTACTAGAGGCCTCTATCATTCTCTATGCCCCAACCACAACCGACGTGGCATCAAAACGAAACACTTCCGGGTCATGATTATTTTGGACCAAATATTTAATTTTAATTTATACAATTTTGACCATGTTCAGAGATTTGGAAACTATTGGGCTTGAAATCGCTTGTTTTACGTTCTACGAATTTTATTTATAGTAGCGCAACATTTTTACACGTGATGATTACGTTGTATCACTGGGTGGAGTCAATTATGCTGAGGCGGGGGACACCGTTTTATGGCCCGTGACGTGGACGGGCAAAAACGGTGAGGGAGGAGCATCCTTTCAAATCGAAATGGAACATGCAGCATGGTGAATTGTCCAGAAACATACACCATCGCTTTTCCATATGTTTGAACTAGTTTTCATTGGGAAGGCAGATAAGGCGTTTTTATCAAAAGCATTCACGTTTGCATGTGAAAACATAGAATCCTACTCATTACTCCTCGTGCTTTACGTTACGTCTCTTTTGTTTAAAGCCGACTTCACCGTGGGCTTTGAACGGGGCACCTGACTCACGCCGGGAAGATAACCCGGTTCCAAAACGAATGCAATCAATTTTCACCCAGGGCGCAAGGGCCAGGTTCATGGAATCCCATCATTGTAGTGGCAGTTGTTACATTTAATTATACAACGGGTGGGTCTAATCCTGAACGCTGATTGGTTAAAACAGCATTCCAGCCGGTGTCTATTCCACAAGTTACCACCAGATAAATCTATGACGTTAAAATGCCTATTTAAACTGTTCCATCTGACTCCGCAATCCACTGTCTCATCAACCCAGTCAGGCACTTTATAAACTTGATTTCCACTATAAAAAGCATATAGACGTTGTCTCATTTCTTTTAGACCAACAATTAGTTTTCAACAGTGGAGATTTGTATAAACCTTGCTGTCTGTCTCTCCAACATTTGCAACATTGTTTCAATATCCAAATTCTATCTCCTGCTTTCCCATAGTAATGAACATGTCGGCAGTCTGGACGAGACAGAAAGGTGGGCAGCGTTTCTCAGCCAGTCGAAATCATGAATCAGCTGGCATCATTTTTATGGATATATACAACAAAAATGTCCATTGAAAGAAGGTAAAACGGAATGCAGCTAATTTGCAGTCTTTCCAGCTTCAGTTTCAAGTGATTGTGTTACTGTAGCTGTGTTGGTGGCCAGCTCCTCTCAACAACAGTGTCCTGACTAGTGAGCCCATTCTCTACGCCAGGCGAAATGGCGCCTCATTAGCTCATTGATATGAATGTTCCATATCGTCTTCATCTCGGGCCTAACAACACCCGGGCTGCTCCGGCATTATCACTTAAACAACACCGATACCGGAACTTGAATGCGACTTTAGGACAGTTCAGTGTCTAGAGGCTTTTTATGTTAAATTACTTGGAGGAAACAACATTCTATTGTCATTTCAATCAGTAATACAACCCTGTTGCTGCCAGAGAAGCATCCACTGTTATGTACAATTGATTAACAAACTATTGCCTGTTAGCCAATGTCATGCAGAGGGAGCCAGATCCATTTATTTTCAGCTTTATTTATACATGAAGTGAAGATGCAACAAAAGGGGTCTGCCTTGTTATCTCATGCATAGGGCTAAATAAATATTCTAGGGGATAATTCTGGTCTCTGTGTTGCTATGATGGTAATCTATTAGGGGATAATTCTGGTCTGTGTTGCTAGGAGTGTACTGTACTAGGGGATAATTATGGTCTGTGTTGCTAGCAGTGTACTGTACTAGGGGATAATTCTGGTCTGTGTTACTAGGAGTGTACTGTACTAGGGGATAATTCTGGTCTGTGTTGCTAGGAGTGTACTGTACTAGGGGATAATTCTGGTCTGTGTTACTAGGAGTGTACTGTACTAGGGGATAATTCTGGTCTGTGTTGCTAGGAGTGTACTGTACTAGGGGATAATTCTGGTCTGTGTTGCTAGGAGTGTACTGTACTAGGGGATAATTCTGGTCTGTGTTGCTAGGAGTGTACTGTACTAGGGGATAATTCTGGTCTGTGTTGCTAGGAGTGTACTGTACTAGGGGATAATTCTGGTCTGTGTTGCTAGGAGTGTACTGTACTAGGGGATAATTCTGGTCTGTGTTACTAGGAGTGTACTGTACTAGGGGATAATTCTGGTCTGTGTTACTAGGAGTGTACTGTACTAGGGGATAATTCTGGTCTGTGTTGCTAGGAGTGTACTGTACTAGGGGATAATTCTGGTCTGTGTTGCTAGGAGTGTACTGTACTAGGGGATAATTCTGGTCTGTGTTGCTAGGAGTGTACTGTACTAGGGGATAATTCTGGTCTGTGTTGCTAGGAGTGTACTGTATTAGGGGATAATTCTGGTCTGTGTTGCAAGGAGTGTACTGTATTAGGGGATAATTCTGGTCTGTGTTGCTAGGAGTGTACTGTACTAGGGGATAATTCTGGTCTGTGTTGCTAGGAGTGTACTGTACTAGGGGATAATTCTGGTCTTTGTTGCTAGGAGTGTACTGTACTAGGGGATAATTCTGGTCTGTGTTGCTAGGAGTGTACTGTACTAGGGGATAATTCTGGTCTGTGTTGCAAGGAGTGTACTGTACTAGGGGATAATTCTGGTCTGTGTTGCAAGGAGTGTACTGTACTAGGGGATAATTCTGGTCTGTGTTGCTAGCAGTGTACTGTACTAGGGGATAATTCTGGTCTGTGTTACTAGGAGTGTACTGTACTAGGGGATAATTCTGGTCTGTGTTTCTAGGAGTGTACTGTACTAGGGGATAATTCTGGTCTGTGTTGCTAGGAGTGTACTGTATTAGGGGATAATTCTGGTCTGTGTTGCAAGGAGTGTACTGTATTAGGGGATAATTCTGGTCTGTGTTGCTAGGAGTGTACTGTACTAGGGGATAATTCTGGTCTGTGTTGCTAGGAGTGTACTGTATTAGGGGATAATTCTGGTCTGTGTTGCTAGGAGTGTACTGTACTAGGGGATAATGCTGGTCTGTGTTGCTAGCAGTGTACTGTACTAGGGGATAATTCTGGTCTGTGTTGCTAGGAGTGTACTGTATTAGGGGATAATTCTGGTCTGTGTTGCTAGGAGTGTACTGTACTAGGGGATAATTCTGGTCTGTGTTGCTAGGAGTGTACTGTACTAGGGGATAATTCTGGTCTGTGTTGCTAGGAGTGTACTGTACTAGGGGATAATTCTGGTCTGTGTTGCTAGCAGTGTACTGTACTAGGGGATAATTCTGGTCTGTGTTGCTAGGAGTGTACTGTATTAGGGGATAATTCTGGTCTGTGTTGCTAGCAGTGTACTGTACTAGGGGATAATTCTGGTCTGTGTTGCTAGGAGTGTACTGTATTAGGGGATAATTCTGGTCTGTGTTGCAAGGAGTGTACTGTACTAGGGGATAATTCTGGTCTGTGTTGCTAGCAGTGGACTGTATTAGGGGATAATTCTGGTCTGTGTTGCAAGGAGTGTACTGTACTAGGGGATAATTCTGGTCTGTGTTGCTAGCAGTGTACTGTACTAGGGGATAATTCTGGTCTGTGTTGCTAGGAGTGTACTGTACTAGGGGATAATTCTGGTCTGTGTTACTAGGAGTGTACTTTATTAGGGGATAATTCTGGTCTGTGTTGCTAGGAGTGTACTGTATTAGGGAATAATTCTGGTCTGTGTTGCTAGGAGTGTACTGTATTAGGAGATAATTCTGGTCTGTGTTGCTAGGAGTGTACTGTACTAGGGGATAATTCTGGTCTGTGTTGCTAGGAGTGTACTGTATTAGGGGATAATTCTGTTCTGTGTTGCTAGGAGTGTACTGTACTAGGAGATAATTCTGGTCCTGTGTTGCTAGGAGTGTACTGTACTAGGGGATAATTCTGGTCTGTGTTGCTAGGAGTGTACTGTACTAGGGGATAATTCTGGTCTGTGTTGCTAGGAGTGTACTGTACTAGGGGATAATTCTGGTCCGTGTTACTAGGAGTGTACTGTACTAGGGGATAATTTGGTCTGTGTGCTAGGAGTGTACTGTACTAGGGGATAATTCTGGTCTGTGTTACTAGGAGTGTACTGTACTAGGGATAATTCTGGTCTGTGTGCTAGGAGTGTACTGTACTAGGGGATAATTCTGGTCTGTGTTGCTAGGAGTGTACTGTACTAGGGGATAATTCTGGTCTGGTTACTAGGAGTGTATGTACTAAGGGATAATAATGTATGTATTAGGGAGGATAATTCTGGTCTGTGTTGCTAGGAGTTACTGTACTAGGGGATATTCTGGTCCGTGTACTAGGAGTGTATGTATAGGGGATAATTTGGTCTGTGTTGTAGGAGTGTGTACTAGGGGGTAATTTTTGGTCTGTGTTTCTAGGAGTGTACTGTATAAGGGGATAATTCTGGTCTGTGTTGCTAGGAGTGTACTGTACTAGGGGATAATTCTGGTCTGTGTTGCTAGGAGTGTACTGTACTAGGGGATAATTCTGGTCTGTGTTACTAGGAGTGTACTGTACTAAGGGATAATAATGTACTGTATTAGGGGATAATTCTGGTCTGTGTTGCTAGGAGTGTACTGTACTAGGGGATAATTGTTGCTAGGAGTATACTGTAT